ATTTTGAGACACAGTCTCGCTCTGTCCCCAGGCTGGAGTGGCATGATCTTGGCTCACTGCAAGCTCCACCTCCCGGGTTCACGCCATTCTCCCTCCTCAGCCTCCCAAGGAGCTGGGACTACAGGCGCCCGCCACCACTTCTGGCTAACCTTTCGTATCTTTTAGTAGAGATGGGGTTTCACCATGTTAGCCAGGACAGTCTCCATCTCCTGACCTCATGACCTACCCACCTGGGCCTCCCAGTGCTGGGATTACAGGCGTGAGCCACCACGCCCGTCCTGTTGCATATATTTATAATAGGCCTTCATAATACTTTACTTCTGAGGCATCTGGTGTAATGTCTCCATTTTCATGTTTTATTTATTTGAGTCTTCCCTCTTTTTGTCATACTCTAGCTAGTGTTTTGCTGATCTTATTTTTTCAAAGATTACTTTTTGGCTTTTATTTTTTTCTGTGTTTCTGTTCTCTATTTTACTGATTTGTATTATTTTCCTCCTTTTGCTAACTTTGGCTTTAGTTCTTTTTCTAGCTTTTTGAGGCATAATGTGGTATGTGCACTAGAAAAGAAATGTATACTCTGCTGCTCTTGGATTGTAAGTTCTATATGTCTGTTAGGTTCATTTGGTGTAGAATGCAGTTCAAATCCAGTATTTGCTTAATTTTCCGTTTAGTTGAGCTATTCAGTGTTTAATGCGGGGTATTAAGATCACTGAATAGTATTGCTATTTTTTTTCTTCATGTACATTAAATTGAGATGGAGTCTCACTGTTGCCCAGGCTGGAGTGCAATGGTGTGATCTCAGCTCACTGCAACCTCCACCTCCCGGGTTTAAGAGATTCTTCTGTCTTAGACTCCTGAGTAGTTACAGGTGCCCACCACCACGCCCAGCTAATTTTTTAGTAGAGATGGGGTTTTGCCATGTTGGTCAGGCTGGTCTCGAACTCCTCACCTCAGGTGATCTGTCCGCCTCGGCCTCCCAAAGTGTTGAGATTACAGGAATGAGCCTTCGCGCCTGGCCAATACTTTCTATATCTAGGTGCTCTGTTGTTGGGTGCATATATAATTCTTATGTCATCTTGATGAATTGGCCACTTTATCATTAATGACCATCTTTGTTGTTGTAACAGTTTTTACCTTGAAGTTTCTTTTACCTATTGTATATTATGCCACACCTGCTCTCTTTTGGTTACTATTTGTATGGAATATATTTTTCCATTCTTATACTTTCAACTTTTGTGTGTTCTGGAAGCTGAAGTGCGTCTCTTTTAGGCAGCCCGTAGTTATATTGTTTTTAATCCATTCAATCACTCTGTTTATTGGATAATTTAATTCATTTACAATCAAGGTTATTACTGATAGGTAAGGACTTATTTTGCCATTTTAAAATTGTTTTCTTGTTTTGTAGATTCTTTGTTCATTTCTTCCTCTCTTGTTTACCTTTGTGATATGGTAATTTTCTGTAGTGCTAATAAGCTTTGTCCTTTATCGTTGTTTGTGAATCTGCTGTAATTTTTTGCTTTGTGGTCACCATGGGCTTACATAAAACATGTTATAGTTGTAATACACTATTTTAAGCTAGCAACAACACAGATCATATAGAATTATTCCAGATTTTTACCCTCTTCCCAATGTATATTGTTGCCATACTTTTTTTTTTTTTTTTTTTTTTTTTTTTTTTTTAAGACAACTCTTTGTCGCCCAGGCTGGAGGGCAATGGCACAATTCTGGCTCACTGCAACATCCGCCTCCTGGGTTCAAGCGATTTTCCTGCCTCAGCCTCGTGAGTAGGTGTGATTACAGGCATGCACCACCGACTCACTAATTTTTGTATTTTTAGTACAGGAGTGGTGTCACCATGTTGGCCAGGCTGGTCTTGAATGCCTGACCTCAGGTGATCCACTCACCCCAGCCTCCCAAAGTGTTGGGATTACAGGCTTGAGCCACTGCACCCAGCCTGACATTTTTTTTATGTTGTATATTCCTTAGCTTTTCAGAGCTATTATTTTTTTTTACTATCTTTCAAATCTCTAGTATGAAGGTTACAAGTGAAAATATTTAATAGTCAATAGTCTATGTTTGACAGTCAATAGTATTTATTAGTATTTAATATATTGATTAGTATTTAAGAAAATAGTCAATCTATATTTAAGACACAGAAGAAACTGAAAGGGAAAGAAAAAGTGTAAGATTTAGAAACAAGAGAATCCCCACCCCAAAAAATTAGAGATTAAATGATCCATATGATAGATAACAGAATACTATGCATGGATTGCTTATACTCTAAGGATTCCTATTCCTACTATAAGGAACTTGGGGACTAAACTTGAGCCAGTTCTTTTCTATGTGCTTCAATGTTAGTATATTTCAAACTGCATTTGGAATGTTTCCTATCCAAATAACAAAATCTTAAAACATCAGGATAAAATTAGCCATGTGTGTCACAGTCACCTTTACATTGGGTCAGAGAACTAGCTTGGTCAGTTAAGTGCTAGCAACAGTTCCTTCTTCCTTTCAATTCCATACCCCTGACATGCCTGAGGACTCAATGTTTAACATTATAACAAGACAGGATGTACGTGACCCTCAGAAAGACCACGGCATTCTACAGCAGAATACTGTAGATATCTCCACGGGCAAGAGGCCAATACTCTGAAAAGTCAGACATTCAGGTGTTGTAACTTGTATGAGATCCTGATTTAATGGACATCTGCTACATTTTCTCTGTCCATGTGTTTTGGAAACTGTCCTTCCTGATGTAATCCTCACAGAGGTGACCATATCATCTGCCTCTCTTGCTTCCCATGCTGGGAGTCAAAGGACCCCATTTCCCTGGAAATACAGATTGGTTTAGGGCTTGCTCCAGGACCAACATGGCTGTTCAGTCCTTCGGAGGAACTGTCATGGACACTGGGAGGAAAATGGTCTCTCTCCTGCCACTGAAACTACATAGATAATGGAAGCTTGGAGATAATGGCCATTTTCTAAAAAATTAGACCATGCTTGATAAAAAGCCATTATGGGGGAAATCAAATCCAAAAATTACATGCTTGAATTGTTACTCCTTTGAACTATTACTCCAGCCAATAAAATCCTTGACTGGATTTCTAAACTCTGAATGACTGAAATTTCTGTTTTTCACCTGAACACATCATACTAATGTAGATTTTCAGAATCACAGCCCTGTACAGTACATGAAAGAAACCATGTCTCCCATGGTGACAAAAAGCTGTCATAAATGTGTACGATTAAATAAAAAATTCTGATTTTTATATACTCTCCTGTATCTTGCATTTTTTATACAATGTTCCTGTAACTTTATTTAAAAATAAAGTCAGGAAAGGATAAAACAGTGATGATTACATGAGCCAACACAACTGTTAGAGTAACGCCAGATACTTGGTAAAAACTTTATGGCTTTTTAAAATAGATTGACTCAATACTAAGCTCTTTAACACTCAACACACAAAGCATAACTTAACATCTAATTGGATGGCACTTTAGAAAAACCCTCTGATGCAAATTAAGCCTGCAGGAAATATTAATGTTTAAAATCTCAGGCCAGGTGCAGTGGCTCACGCCTGTAATCTCAACACTTTGGGAGGTTGAGGTGGGTGGGTCACTTGAGGTCGAGTTCGAGTCGAGCCTGGCCAACATGGTGGAACCCTGTCTCTACTAAAATCACAAAAATAGCCGGGTGTGGTGGTGAGCGCCTGTAGTCTTAGCCATTTGGGAGTCTGAGACTGGAGAACTGCTTGAACCTGGGAGGCGGAGGTTGTAGTGAGCCGAGATCGTGCCACTGCCCTCTAGCCTGGGCGACAGAGACTCCATCTCAATGACGCATATTAATTTATATGCTATTTTTTCAAAAGTGATGAGGTGGCTTTAGAAACACCAAATAAAGACATAGATAAAATCTTGGCCCAACAATTACTACCTTTCTGATCTTTGGCAAGTTTACTAGCCTCTCTGAGCCCATTTAAATAAGCCTGTATATAAAAGCACAAAGTGTCTATTGCATACAAAGTGCTCAGTATTTATTACTATTATTTCAGGAAAATACCTTTAATATTACCTACTAGTTTTGTGTAACTGGTTACAGAAATTCTTAAAAAACTGTAGATATCATCTTGACTAGCTTACTGATGAATACAAACAAAATGCCAATGAAGTGACTTACCGTATATCATCAACAGGTTTAATTAAAGACAATGACAAAACTAGAACACAGGTTTCCTTAAAAGTATTTTTTCCTCTCTACCACAATGCAGATTTAAAACAAATCCTTAGGCTTTAGTTTTGTCACTGTAAATAAAACTAGTGTGAATGCAGGGAAGATACTACATGCTGGTATGAATATGAATGCAGTAAAACTATAGTTTAAAATATCCTTTAAGAGTAAAGTGCCTGTGTTCTTTTCAGGTCAATATAAATATAAAACAGTGCAAATTTGATACTATAAAAAAATTAGTCAAACATTCAAATATTCCTAATGTTTATAAAGGCCAAATTCCAAAGGCCAAAACTCCAGGTATAACTCAAATTAAGATTCAAAAAATTATTTCACAGATTTTTCTTGAGCGGCTCTATTTCTATGTTATAGCTGGGAGAGCTGGACAGTTAACTTAAAATACAGAACTAATATAAGAGGGTTAAAAGTCTATTTATGAAGTAAAGTAGAAAGCACGTACAAAGTAGTTTACTTACAGAAGACTAAAACAACAAATACAAAACCTAAATAAACGATTCTGTGATCTGAGTAGACTAAAAAATGTTATCAGGTGTATAAATACTTAACCAAACTACTAACATAACTCTGTGTATCTTATGTTAGAAATAGAAGGAAGTTTTTAGTACAATAGGCCTAGGTCAATCATTTCTGCTAAAATGTGCCTCAAAAAAGGCAAATGGGGTTCCTAAAATTCCTAAACAAAAAGTATTTTTATGTCCATTATTGCATAATAAAGCAAACCAGTAACTGGATAAGAAAAAAATACAGAAGATAACTGTCAATCTTTACCAATTTATTTTATACAAAACAGTAGCAATGTAGAATATGGGAATCGTCTTCCGCTGCCACGCACGCAAGTTGTGAACATTCCAAGCCAATGTGTACAATTTGGAGGGGAAGGCTAAACAATAGCATCAACCACGCTACTGAACATAGGAATTTTTCATTTAAAAAGATTAAAAATTAGATAGCAATGTCTTCTTAATATTGCTCTCATCATTGAAGACTGAGGAAAAATAAAAAGTGACTTTATAAGTTTTTTAAAAAAGAGGCAATGGGGAAAAAAACAAGAGGCTGCTACAACACTGCCATACAGTCAAACCATCATACTTCAACATTTGCATACTTGATAGCAGCATTATTTTTACTGAACCGTGTGCAACTACATGTAGAAACACATCAAAGCAAAATATCATGGCAGTTATCAATCAAGATCCAAAAAGAAAAAAACAAACAAAAAAATAACTCTAGGATGAACACACTATAAGAACATTTATGGAGAAAGAATCAATATCTACATTCTTGGACTGTTCCATTCTGCCCCAATAAAAGTGTCAATTCAACTGTCAACTGTGGATTTTTGGCGGATTTGAGTTTTTCCAGTTCTTATGATACTGCATGCTTGGAACAAAGGGGGTCATAATAAATCCTTCTACACAATGAACTTTATAGGTAGACAGCTGAAAATAAATTTACTACTTGTAAACACACACAAAAAAAAATACAAGATTTTTTGTATCTTTAAACAATCAGTGCTTCCAAAAGCCCATTATCTTCTATATCGACCTCTCTCCCCTCGGTCTCTGTCTCGATCACATAATCGCTCTCTTTCTCTTTCTCTATCACGTCCTCTATCTCGCTCTCTGTCTCGTCTGTTATCTCTAGGGCGGTCTCGCTCTCGTTCCCGATCTCTTTCACGGGGTCTACTTCTCCGGCCACTGACAACAGCTTGTGTGCGACGAAGGAAATCATCCACCCTCATATCATAATCATGCTAGAAAACGGAAGAAATGTGTTAGGTACGTCAAAAATGCAAATAGTATAAGTGGATCCCTGATTTGAAAAAAAAAATTTATATAAACAATTTTAAAATACAAAAAAAGAAAAAAGTCTCTATATTATAATTGGCGGAGAGAACAATCTAAAGAAATGCAATAATAAATTAATTCACAGAAGGTTAATATGCTGACATGGTTTAGAAAAAGGATGATGTCTCATTAGACATCTACAACAGATTACTCACATCTCTTTATGCAGTTTTCTACTTAACTTTAATGACTTTTCCATCTGATCCTTTCAATAAGATTTCGGCCAAAGAAATTAGTGATGACCTTCAACTATTATCTATATATACTGCCAATTGTGCTAAATGTCATCAATGTTTTTCTGGCACAGGCTAGCTCGACATTTTTCCTCCAATTCTACCAACTTCAATTTTACAAACTGAGAGGATTATGTTCCAGATTTTCTTTTTTTTTTTTTTTTTGAGACGGAGTCTCGCTCTGTCACCCAGGCTGGAGTGCAGTGGCCGGATCTCGGCTCACTGCAAGCTCCACCTCCCGGGTTCATGCCATTCTCCTGCCTCAGCCTCCCGAGTAACTGGGACTACAGGCGCCCACCACCTCGCCCGGCTAGTTTTTTTTGTATTTTTTAGTAGAGACGGGGTTTCACCGTGTTAGCCAGGATGGTCTCGATCTCCTGACCTCGTGATCCGCCCGTCTCGGCCTCCCAAAGTGCTGGGATTACAGGCTTGAGCCACCGCGCCCAGCCTCCAGATTTTCTTTCAAACTAAATTGTTACAACTAAGTGATGTGCAAGAAAAGTTGTGGCTGCTCCTAAACTTGGCCTCTGCTCTACTTTAAACTTTCTGCTCTTAGTTCTCAGCTCGTCTTACTGATTTTGGTCTTTTCTCAAAATTTAGCTGAAATAGGATTTGAAAACACAATCCCACATTACCTTTTATATATGTGATTATATAAGCAGAGAATATGTATACTAACCAAAAAATCACTACATAAAGATCCATAAAATAGAACTTGTTAAAAAGGGTAAACACAGTTCAGGAAAACAAATTAAAAAAAATCTTAGACTTCCTATTTTAAAAGCCATGTGATCAGTTATGGGAATTTTTAAGACACCACAACCCATCTAGTCAACTAAGATTTCATTATAGACTGTGTATTTATTTCTTGTATGCCTAACTGAAAATAAACTACTAATTTAAAGTTTGTGAATCAGTTAATTAGTACCCTCAAATTATTTTACACAATGTTAAAGGTCATGATATGACTTGATTTAGAGAAAATTACTATCTTTATGAGGATAAGGAAATTACTGACAACACATAAAAATGTCTCAAAGGCCAGAAAGCTACTCTGATTCTCACAAATAGGCCCACTCGTCATCTTAAGCTGGAAAATAAAAATATCTTTATTTGGCCCCATACACACTCATCACCATAAGTAGGGAGTGGAAAAAAAAATTCTAACTTGCATATCTTACTTAGTTTAACAACAAAACTACCTCTCTAAGGCTATCAATCTTATACGCATATGAATTATGCTTCCAACACCTGCCAGAAGACAATTCCACTTTTTAAAATAAAAGTACCTAATATTAGAGGAAAAAAAAAAAGCATTTAATAAACTCAACCCCACTAGTTAAAAACCCAGACAACTCAAACTAGAGTCTTTTTTTCATTGGTCCTGTTTTGAAGCCATCAAAAAAAGCTTTCACATCAATCTTATCAAATAATTAACAGAATCAATGAATAAAGGACATACCTGCTACATATCGTAACATCCAGTTATTCTTTGTTAACATCACAATAACCACAGGTAAAACAATTCATTAGTTACTAGCTTTAACACTTGGTAAAAATAAAAACAAATGACTAAATGAGATTACAGCTTACCAGCTAACTTAATATACACCATCTATCCTACAAAAATTGAATCAGAATACACAAAAAGTTCAGAAATACCTATTAACAATATTAATTACACGGCATAATTAAGGTCTCAATATGGAAAGAACATAGCCTAGGTACTACCTAAAAGGGATTCTATTTGTAGATGTTTGCCTTAAGCAGTTTGTGATCTGATCAGTAAAATAAATATATTCTACCTATATAATCCAAAGGGGCATAATCAGGCATTTTTAATAAAAACAAACTAGGAATTACTCCAAAACAGTCTGCAGTTTAAGAATATGCAATGATCTTTCACCACACTGTGGTTTCCCCATATTTAAATTACCTACAGAATTCTAAGTAGTTCCCTCACACCTTTGCCTCCTTGTGCACTTACTACTCGTTTATCTCTGTATCTTGCTTCATGTGGTACTGGATGATGTCCTGAGTAAGGGGGATGAGCTTGAGGAGGTGGAGCATGGTGCTGATAGTAAGGATGGTGTGGAGGTTGTTCCATTCCTGGGTAAGGGGGCTAAAAAAGGAAAACCATTCCCATTAAGAATCTACCAAATACCCTTGTAAACAAGCCATTCTTAGAAACCTTCATCCAAAATGCCAATCCCAAACAAGTGAATCTGTACTAGACATTTATTTTATGGCATTAAGGTGTTTCAAAATATCCTTTTTGTTTGTTGAAAATTACACATCTTCTAAGATACAACATGTTTATACTTTTCTACTCCTATCATATAAATACTAAGGGAAATAGCAAACCCTCACATGGTGCTTACTGTGAGCCAGGCATTGTTCTAAGCACTTTACTAGTCTCATTTAATTCTCACAACCTTATGAGATAGATACTATTGTTCCCAGTTTACAAAAAGGAAAACTGAGGCAACAAGGAGTTAAGTAACCTGCTTATAGTCACACTACTGTTAAGTGGTGAAGCAGACATATGGCATCAGGCATCCTAGTTCTACAACTGGTAAACTGGTTAATCACTTTGTATGTATCTACTCTTAAAAACTTCAACAGGCCCGGTGTGGTGGCTCATGCCCACATCCCAATGCTTTGGGAGGCTGAGGGAAAAGAATCCCTTAAGCCAGGAGTTGGAGACTAACTTGGGTAACAGAGTGAGATCCTGTCTCTATAAAAAATTAGCCAGGCACAGTGGCATGTGCTGTAGTCCCACCTACTCAGGAAACTGAGGCAGCAGGACCACTTGTGCCCATGAGTTCAAGACTGCACAGAGCTATGATCACACCACTGCATTCCAGCCTGGGAGACCAAATGAGACCCTGTCTCTTTAAAAAAAAAAAAAAAGAAAAAGAAAAAGAAAAAAAGTCCAGGAGCAAATTAACTTTTAAATGCTATTAAAAAATGAATAGAGGGTAAATTAAAGATTACTTTCACAGTTACTATCAAGATCATATATTAAATTTTTAAAATCTCCCAGAATATAAAGGGAAAAAGTCTCATAATCATCTGCATACAATAGTATAAAACTGTATACCTTAAAGAGACACAAAAGTCAGATGAAGAGGCCATATAACATATAGCATTTAAAATAAAGAGATAAATTAAAATGTAAGAAAACAGTAGAAGCTAAACTTCCAGGTTTTTATTTCTTGAAAATTAATGCTTCAGCTATCTTCAATATCTTAAAATATACTCTAAGAAGACAAGTTTTCTTAAAGGAAATAGTTAAAAAGCAGGAATAATCAGGGTTTAATTAATCTTATTTTACACAGAAAATTTAGTGAGTATTAGATCAGGCACTATGCTAAACTTAACATGTACTTTGTAAATTTATCTTCTTGACAATGAGAATGACACTACTACATTAAATGTTAAGCTATACCAGGACAATCACGATGTCAATTTCATTCACCATGACATAATCAGAACAAGCACAGTGCCTTCCACAGAGTAAGTACTAAATATTATATTTGATAAGCCAACTACGGAATTTTACAGATGAGGAAAACTAAGAGTTGTATTAAGAAATTTACCCAAGGTCACAGAGATGGGAAGAAAAAGAAATATATCTGAACCAAAGCAGACTTTGCACTACTAATCACTACCATAATACACTATTACAGTTCTGAAGCCTGTACTATTAACACAAATGAGCTTTTGGTCTTTAGTTTGAAAGACAGCACACAATTATTTATCACCAAAAATCTGTATTTTAAGTCTTTTTGAGACGGAGTCTCCCTCTGTTGCCCAGGCTGGAGTGCAGTGGCACTGTCTCAGCTCACTACAACCTCTGCCTCCTGGATTGCAAGCAATTCTCCTGCCTTAGCCTCCCTGAGTAGCTGGGACTATGGGCACGCGCCACCACACCCAGCTAATGATTTTTGTATTTTTAGTAGAGACGAGGTTTCACCGTGTTGGTCAGGCTGGTCTCGAACTCTTGACCTCAGGTCATCTGCCCGCCTCAGGCTCCCAAAGTGCTAGGATTGCAGGTATGAGCCACGGCGCCCAGCCAGTTTAAGTCTCTTTAATGAGCAACTGTAACAATCATATTCTGAGTAAGCACCTGAAATATTAGAACGGCAAATGAAGTTATGTAACTTATAAAAATAGAATAATACAAACCATTCCTTGCCAAGGTGGTGGTGGTCCCATGTTATGAAATTCCCTCACATAATCATTGTAGGACTAAAATGAAAGATGATAATGTCAATATAATTAAAAATTATCACAGAACTGCAAAATAAATCAGAGCCTGATTTTATCTACATTAAATAGATAAAAGAAATGCTTACCCCATTTAAAAACACATCTCGGCGAACTCCTGAAAATCGTCTGTTGGGAATAAGATTTGTGAAACTAAATTCAGGTAATTCATAAACTAGTTCCAAGAATGTAATTCAAAGCTAGGCAAGAGTGAACCCGACTTACCTGTCTACTTCCTGGTATCGTGGATCCTTTAAATACCCTGTTCAAACATCAAGCATTTTAGTAAATCAAATTTATATTTTTCTATTATGGCATTATAATTAAACCTTCCTTACCACTCGTTTCAATTCTTTCCATGAAATATGTATTTTAAGTGATGTTACTATTATCCCATTTTCAAATTTTCTTCTCAGATTACATGATAATCTAGAAAATAACTAATTATATCATAGAATTGTAAACTGCTAGAGAAGCTTTCATATACGTATCTTCTACATTCACAGTCCAAATCTTGCTAATCAGAAAATTTCTTCTTTCTGCATCACAGAGAAGGTAAGGGCAGAGGAACTATCTTGAACACAGTATGACAGGACTTCCTTAAATGTTTACTTTCCAGCTTGGGTATATGTAGGCCTTACCAAGTAAACCAATAAGCTTTTTAAAATGTAAACTTAAGGGGGAGGGAAAAAATTGCAAAAGTTGCAAAAATGAAGATGTATACACTGAAAATGAAAAATCGATGGTGATTAGAAAAATATTCCTTCCCCTGCTTCTTTTAGTAAGGACCCAACAAATTAAAATGTAGAAACATCTGAGTGGTCATGTTACTGGGGAAAAACTATTTTCACTTTCTACAACAGGACATCCTATTTTGGAAGAATGAGGCTAATCAAGCCACCTGTTACATAATAGTGCTACAACGATCACTAACATCAATCTCCTAACTGCCTAAGTTTCACAAGTGCATCACTGACTCTGTTCTAAATACATGATATCCCTTCTTGAATATAGTTTGCTCTCTCAAACTCCAGTAAGGGATAGATTAATTGAAAAGCTACATTTAGAGATTACGTACCAAAGATTTCCCATTCCTCTCCAAAGACATAAAGATTTTTATGAAAAATCCTGATAGAATATAAGGTAATTGCTTTTCATAACTACATTTAATCTTAAACACATGTGCAGATAAGTTTTCATTTTTGCAAAATTGGCAATTTCAGGTAATAGGATATAATGAGCTACACTGGAATAGACTGGACAAAAAGGGAAGAATTACACTAATGAGAACTACTAAAATTTCCCAAGATTTAGTCAGGTCCTGAATTTTTTTCACTTTTAAAACTGCAGGATTGTGAGGGTTGTTTATAATTTTTTTATTTTATTTTTTTTCCAATAATTTGAAATCAAATATCTGCAGGATTATAAAATATTAACCTGGTCTCTGGTGAAACTCAGGGGGATAGTCAATCCTTGGTTTCTTTCTGCTGTTATGAATATCATAATCTTCTGGTCGACGCCTACACAAATTAGACACATTAGAAATTAAACCAAAAACTGCTGGGAGAACAAATAGTAAAGTAAGAGTTTCTGACAGAGATAAGTACAAAACATAACCCATTATTTACTTTAACATCTTAATTTTTAGTTTTAAAATTCCTGCATTTTGATTCTCAAATTAATTCCTATAAACCAAACCTTAAATGTATGCTGGAAGTAGATATTCTCTGCCATCTCATGCTATGATGAGAAAATTGCAGGCTAATCCAATCAAAACATGTAAATCACATTTTAGTAGTCTAAACAAAAGTAAACAGAGTCATTCTCAAACTAAATACCAGTTTAACAATTAAAACACTTTCCCAAATAAAGTCTCCATTCAGTTAAAAAATAAAAATTAGAAAAACCTATCATCATTGTACAATATGTAACTCTAAAATCTATATATTTAAAACTTATGTCATTTTAGGTTAAGTCTAAACAAAATTAAGAATTTATTTTTCCTCTGCTTTGCACAAAATTATGATTTTTACATGATCATACAGAAAATTTGATACTTATTAAAAGCAACTTTACAGGAAAGTTTTTAAAATCTTAATAGTTTAAAAAACTAATTTCTTAATATTCCTTAGTAACATTTAGTTTTTCTTTCTACATTTAATGACATTTAAGAATTAAGGGAATTTTTTTTTCCAGAGACAATGCCTTGAAATAAAACTGGCTTTTTATAAATCGGCAAGTAATGGGTCAGAATTTTAACAGAGTTCATAAAACTAGTTCAAAATATATTCTTTAGAAGGTGAAATTTTACTGACTACAGAGGGCTTTTCTTTACTGTCTTCCATAAATTGGGTTTACTTAACACATCATTAAATACACTTCAATTTACTTAGCAGCTAATAAAAGTTAAACAAAAAAAAAAGTCCAAAATATTTAGAAAATAAATCTTTTTACCCTTAATGTCAAATAAAAACTTGATAACAACCTGGCATTCACTAGTTTTCAGCTATTTGTCTGAATACCAACTACTTTCATTAACTTTTTCTACACAGTTCATTCAAACTGCAAAGTTAAGTGCAATAATCCCAAGCCCCCCCAACAGAATAAGAACAGTTGCATCTACAATAAATAATACTAAGAAAATTAAAAGCTGGTTTAAAAAATAAACATACCGCTTTCCTGTAGTTTGGGGAGTGCATTTACGACCGGTATAAAACATGATAGTAACAGTTCATATAGTAGTCCAACTACTGACTTTTAAGCTGTAAGCCACATACATAAATGGAGGCCCTGGCAGGCTTGAGAGGAGGTGTAGTGGTGTAATAAGTATAGTTTGCAGTCCATTGCAAAACTGAGGTAAAAACTTCACTTGTATATACTGTATTGCACTGGAAACCTCTTAGTTTAAAACTTCAAAAGACATCTTGGTGCTCAGTCCTTTTAGGCCAAAAATAAGGGGCTCTGCCAGGTTTCCTCCTACCTACTCGACAGTGTCCTTTTTAAGCTCAAAGAAATGGGGACTCTTGTTGGATTATCTGTACCTACCACAGGATGTTTCCACCAAAAGGAAATTTAACCAAAGGTTTCATCCCATCAACCATACATCCAATAGTCTTTAGCAGAATATTTTAGATTTAGCTGTATGCAAATCTACACAGGGGAAGGTGTTGGGTAGAAGGGCTTAAATCAGTCCTTTGCAAAGACTTCTCCAATTCTGTAACAAGTTAAACCCCCTTTTTCTGGAAAATGCTGTTTAGTTCATAAAGCAGTGATCAATAACCATGGCGATCCTCTAAAAAACACTTTAAGTCCACAGGTACTGCCAGCATCTGGAAAAGTTGTAAACAGACACAGCAACAGCCCTTCTTTTTGGTTTGTTGCCGGGTCTCCCAGGGCCACTTGATCCCCTTTGGAAAGAACCTATTGTTTTCAGAAGCTCAGCAAGATGTATGAATTCACTGGGTACATGTTAGAGAATATTTGGCAATAGGATTAACACATCACGGTGATAAAATCTGAAATAGTCCCAATAATGCTCCTCTTGAGTATCAAAATAACTTAAAATATTTTATCCTCTATATGAGGCGTCATCTTCTGAAAAAATATTAGTGATCCTTTATAAAAGTCCCATATCTGATAAGGCTTATCCAGAGACATACCTGAAAGAAAAGGCTTTTTAAAAAATATTAACAATTTTTGCAAATAAAGACTTCCTCCTCTTCCTCCTTTCTAGCCTGTTCTTAGCAACAAATGCCTACCTCATTTCAATTGTATACATTGTATTATCAGAGTATTATCTAATCTAAACTGGTTATCACTGGTTATACTTTTTTCAGAATAAGGAAAGATCCCCATTTTCCTCTTGAAAAATGACTGAGACCAAGGTGACCATGTGAAATCCTCAATGAAGCCACAAACTAGTCCATGCAGCTTGATTTGAGGATTTTCTCTTTCTTCTTTACCGCAGAACAAACTTTTGACGAATCATATTCCTCCATCATGTTATTCTGATACATGTGCCTATTATCAGTCCAAAGAACGTTTCTAACCTTCCCACATCCCGGACTGGTTCTCGACGGGATGGACGTCCTCGTGATCTGGGCTGAGAATGCATTCTTCTCTTGTGACGCATTTTATGAATGACCTGATACAAGTCAATACTTTCATCGGGGGGAAACAGAAGACAAAGCTGGGTTCCACATTCAAGTTCAATTTCCTAGAATAGGAAAGCAGTAATTTATAAAACAAAAACAGACCCTTTCAACAGACTTGCACTTTCCTGATATACCAGAACAAAAACTGACTTGGAGGTTTTGTTCCCAAGTTGATGATCATATGCAATTCCAGTAAGATTTCCAGATTTATGAAACATTTCAAAAGTGTTTTGTGTATTTATATAAAGGGTAAAAATTGAAAGTGTAGAATCGCCAAAATTAAATACACAAATGCAGTTGCTTAAAATTCTGTGACAATCACCCTCTGAAAAGAAGGGACTATTTCTTTGTGCAAAATACAAAAATACCAGGACAAAGTCATTTAATACAATGGAGAAAAAACACATGTCAGTGTGTGTACCAACAACTTTGATAATTATGATCTAAGTGCACTGAAATACATTAGATTTACCACAAAGGCAGACCAATCTATGGGCTCTTTAAAATTAAATCATTTTCAGTTATTTGTAATTGAAAAAGTGAAAACATTTTTACTTATGAGCAATAAAATGTCATATTGCTTTTGTGTGGCCAGGCACAGTGGCTCACGCCTGTAACTCCAGCACTTTGGAAGCCCCAGGCAGGTGGATGGCTTGAGGCCAGGAGTTTGAGATCAGCCTCGCAAAACGGTGAAACCCGTCTTGACCAAAAATACAAAAATTTGCCACTCTCATAACCTGGTCTCCAAAAACATTAAAATTAAAAAATAAAATAAAACAAAACTTCTGGTTCAGAGTTACATGTGCCAATTACAAGGATCAAAGGTTTTGGTTTTCAATTACTCCACATTTTCAATTCCATTTGTAGAGTTGAAAACTTGAGTACATATATTTAATCTTTTCAGAAAGCTGCTTTCTACTCAGAAAACTTTAGCACATACACTAAATGGCAATTCTAAAATGTATTACAGAAACTGAAGAATCTGTTAAACAGTGATAATATAGTTAAAACATTTTTTTAATCTGGCAAATTCTCTTTAGAAATATTTCTTCAATTATATCAAATGAAAGTACCATACAAAGCTGCCTATATTTCAACATTAATGGATGTCTTATTAGTCTTAATCAGTTATTATAAACTTCAGATAAGACTATTTTTTCAAATTCTCACATGATCTCAGATGGTTAAAACAAATACATCAATGAAGACCTCTAAAAGGGTCGATTAAATGTGCTTCTTAAAGAATCAATTAAAACCACAAACCTGTCCATCACGTCCGATCTTTACTGGTTTATGTTCATTCCAAGGATTGGTGAGATGAGCCGACTTAGTGAAGGGTAATTCACGCCTAAACACAAAGTAATATCAATTACATTCTTCTGCAGAATCCTTTAAGGAACTTATACTACTTCTAGCAGTGAATTCCTGTATTAATTGTAACTTAAATATGACTAAAATTTTAAAAATCACTTACAGTGGTTGAGTTTATTCCCTACAGAAAGCCTCTTCAGAGACTTTTTCCATATTCTCCGGTTTTCTAAAAAAAACTTAAGAGCAAGGGCTTGAGAACCAAGATAACTCGGGGCTTAAACCCCAGCCTGCTCTCTTCTCTGAGCCTGAATCTATTCCTTTGATAAGAAAGAATATCACCATCTACTTTACAGTTGTTTTACGCAGTTTGCAAATGAAATGACACATAAAATATTCAGCATATCCCTTTCCTCTACGACCTCAAAAAACTTAAAACTGACCAAAAAGAAGCTGTACCTTAACCCAGCTATTAAAACCAAATGAAAATAGAAGTGTCCCCTATTCTCAGTTGGAGGTTGGAGGCTGCTTTCCCTGTTCAAGTGTACTCCCTCATTCAATATGGCAATATTCTTCACCACCCACAGAATGGCTTGAGTTGTGCAATAAATTATTTATAAATGCGTATATTTATATTAATTATGAAACTCAAAGGCAGTATCTACATAATTTAAATATTAAAAACCTGGTTTTAAGATCTCTGAGCCATAGGACAAAATGGTCTCACCAAACTTAAAAGGATACCTTGTATTTTTATAGTGCTTTGTCAACCTAACACAATGTCACATGAATACAAAGATGACACAAAATCAACAGTTGTTAGCTGCCAAGATATAATTGTAAATTAACAGTATTTAAGGTTTTATCTGCCTGTGCATAAAACAATAATGCCAAAATAAATAAATACTTTAAAGAACTATTCACTGTACCTACAACACAAATGAAACTGTTCAGCCAAAGGACATACAAAGACAAGAAAGATAAAAGAGTTTGTATCCCTAACCTTTCTTCCATAGCCATCAAAGAAAAAAAAAAAAAACAAGCACACACAATTTTCAAAGAGAATGGGTACTATGTGCACAATACAGAAGATCTGTTTTGTTTTTAATAAGAGTGGTCATATCTATTTTCAAAGAAAGAAAAATAATCACAAAATGCTTCATGAAAGAAGTGGTACATGAGTTAAGCTTGAAAGAAAAATAACCCAGGTAAAGCCTTATGTAGAGAACTAAGGCAGGAATACATCTGAAACAAAGAGAACGGCTAGAACAGAGGTATAATGGAAAAACGAAAACATAAGTAACTTTACCCAGTGAATATGCCACATAACCTTACATGAATTTTCTTGAAAGTGAATACTGAGTGCTCAGATCTTTCTTTAAATTTAATTTTTTAGAGACTGGATCTCACTATTTTGCCTTGGCTGGTTGCGAACAAATGGGCTCAAGCAATCCTCCCACCTCAGCCTCCCAAAATGCTAGGATCACAGGTGTCAGCCACCACACCTGGCCTGAATGCTCAGATCTTATATAACTTTTTTTAAACCTCAGGAAAAACTCTGACATTTTCCAGGGAAACAGAAGTATTTTAGAGTTAAACTAACAAGGTGGTATGTTCTGTGATGGTAGTGATATATATATACATGGAAGAGTGATCAGTGAGTAATGAAAATACCCACTAAGTATCACTTAAAAGCTTGGTTTCTTTTTCTAATATACACCTTACTTCACCCATCAAGAGTGAGTCAAAAATACTGAATTTTTTTTTTCCCCTTTTCAGGATGTCAGAAGCAGAAAGACTAGAACAAGTCCACACCAAAGCTTGAATATCCAGAGGCAGATATCTAGTTTTCTTTGTATTATGTTCAATAATTTAAATTTTTCTTCTAATTGCCAGTTTAAAACAGTTATAGGAAAGGAATAAATGAAAATCTACAGCCAACAAAATATAAGAAGGTTATAAATTAATGGGATTATCACTGTTATTTAAATATCAGCAAGTAAATACCCATGATCCAAGTAGAAGTAAAAGCATAGGCCAAGCTAGATGTATCATTTGGGATTGAGATTCTTTGGTGGCACTGGTTCCAACTATATTCAAGAGACATCTGTGCACTGTTTCAACACAGTTAATCTCAGCCAGAACATCACAGAAAACTGTGAAGTCTGAGGCAAAACAGGGCTCAGAATTAAGAAAATGGAAGGGTCTGTGATCCATGTATCCTTCTTACTTTATCCTTTCTTCTCAGATCGCAATCATAGAACAACCAAACAGTTACCTTCTGAGCAGCTATGTTATGAAGCATACAGATACAACTTATCTTTACTGTGAGTTCTTTGAGAACATGTAAGGGACTCTCTGACCTAAGTGGTTCTGCAAATACAGCAAATTTAACAAAACAATGTAAAATTGTGCACAGTTTTTTGTTTTGAGACAGTCTCACTCTGTTACCCAGGCTGGAGTGCAGCAGCATGATCTCGGCTTGCTGCAACTTCCACCTCCTGAGTTCAAGCGATTCTCATGCCTTAGCCTCCCATGTAGCTCCATGAGTCTGTCTACCTCTTCAGTTGCTTGATACATTTCAAACAAGTCAGTAGAATAGTCAGTAAGTCAATGAAGAATATGCAGAATGAATAATCTATGAAAAATTAAATTCATCTTAAGAAACAAATTTCCTTATCAATAATGTAAAAATGAAAGTTAACAGAACAAATAACATTCAAAACAAAAATCTGCTGCAACCCACATAAAAATGGGCAATTATTTTCTCTCCTGTTCTCAAGAAAGCAACACCTGCAAATATGTTACATTACAATGTTTCCTCTAGCCTTTACAGAGCAGTCACATACACTCACAAAATAAAAATAAATAAAAATGTGCATCTCTCTGCTGAAAAATAATCACTCCCTTTCCCTATAAATTGTCACCAGATTTTCAACTTTAATTTTGATTTCAAAAAAACTATTAAATTTATATTTTAAAATCCCTGGGGGTAATAGAGAGGTGGGACATAGTACTAACAGTCTCACCACCTAACACTGCATTCCAATACCGTAATTATGGATTTTTTCATGTTATACCTTTCTATGCTGATATGTGCAAGATTACTTCCACATATATTTAACAGACAAACTATAATCTGTTTAACTAATTTTCTATTTCAAAGAATTTAGATGATTTCCAACTCTTCCCCACAGAAAGTAATAATGGGATGAGTATTTTTTCTGCACATAGCTTTTTGCTATGCTATTATCAACCTAATACAATTATGTGTCACTTAATGACAGGGATACACTCATCAGGTGATTTCATTGTGTGAACATCACAGAATGTACGTACACAAACCTAAATGGTATAGTCTACTACATACCTAGGATATATGGTATGACCTATTTCTCCTAGCCTACAAATCTGCACAGCATGTTACTGTATTTAATAGCGTATGTAACTGTAACACAATGAAAATACTTGTGTATCTAAACATAGAAAAGGTGCAGTAAAATATGGTATTATAGGTACCTCTTACGAATCCTACAGTCTTATGGGACAAGATTCTTTCTTGATGGATATGTCACTACGCAGCAAGTGACTGTATGCTATTTGTAATATATCACCCCTCTATCTTCACAGCTCCTCACTATCCTACAATAAACGTTTAGGCTGACTCACATTCATTCATTCTTATCCATCTTTGCCCTTTGTCCTTCTCTTTTCCTAACCATCTCCTTCATAAAAAAAGGTAGCTCCCTATCCCACTCACACAACCACATGCCCTCCCCACCCGCCCCGCCCATAGTTTGTTTCCATGCTCTTCTTGACTTAGGCTGCTTTCTTTCATATGCATAGCAGTTTTCTTTTTTTTCATCCAACTCCTTCATGCTCATCAAGATCTAATACCCAAAAACAACTTAAAACTCACAAAGTAACCATCTCCTTTCAGACACTTTTTAACTAAAATTAATTTTATAGGTAACAGATTTGTGTATGCCACATAAAGATCACTTAAATAATGAGCTTCTTGTGTACAATAATTCAGTATGCAGTAAGGACCTAAAAACAGTGACAACTCAGTGTTCAAAATAAGCCTGGTTATTTTTCTAATAAATATAGTTAAATCTTAATTCAGTTTTAAAAGATCACAATGGCAACTAAACATCATTTGCTAACCTCCTTAAAAAATACTGTCCACAACTAAACTAGTTACCTCCGAAATTGTTAGCCAAGTCAGAGTACTTATTCCACAATAGCTAAGTGACATGTTAAATCACTAAAATTATACAGATATGCCTGACAACATTTCAAGCAATTGTCCAATTCATTTACTGCTGTATTACTAATATACAAAACAAATCAAATACATAAAACTTCAGACTTAATACACCTTTGTTGGGTCCCACATTAGATAAAGATACTGAATAAGGTAAGATATGCATATGATGATGTTTTTACTTTAACACATTATTCTAAACTGGCAGCGTTTTCAAAACTTCAGTTATCTATACTCAAGTGTTAATTTACCTGCAAATCCAGTCAATTTTAAAGACACCTCCCAGCATTTTAGCACTCATTCCTGCTGGAAGCACCCAGTGTATAGGAGATCCTCCGTGATGTGATTCTGAAGAAAGTCTTGCAAACCCTAAGAGAATCATATAATAATATGTAGATGCTAATATAATTAATGTTTTTATATGTCCAAATTATTTTTATTCTTACCTTGAAATTTTCCACTCTCTCTGACAGAAAATATTAAGATAACACTCCTTGCAGATCTAAATGCAAGATTTAATTTCTTCTCATTTACAGGGAGCGTGGACCATACACCCTATATAAATAACATAAAGACCACAAAGTGAAATTAATTACAACTCTTTTGTGTTTCCAGTTATGTTTGCAAAAAAAAAACTATATATTTTGGTGTGCTTTCAATTTAAGTAAGCTATAATGAAGATTTATCAGCTGTCAAAATAATAAAAACCTAAGGGAAAAAATGTAGACAATTACCAATTTTACAAAATTATTAAAGCAACTAGTAAACACATGGAGACGAGGTTCAAATCTAAGGGACTAGAATTCTACATACTGAAACCAACCACCTACAATTATTTTAATATTACAACGATTTACTGTGGTAAATACATCCTGTTTGAAGGTGAACTGCAACTTAGAAGTTTGTCTTCTTGAAAAACTGTGCCTAATCAAATAATTAAAAATTACTGTATTAGTCAAGAATCTAGCATTTTTCTATTTAACTTCGTTTTTTCAAAGCAGTTTTTAAGTTCAAATTTTTATGTATCAATAGTTTGACTGAAAAGGCCTATGTTCTACCTAGAGCTGGAAGATATTTGCTAATTTCTAAAGCATTTTAACCAATTCTTCATTCATAAAAGATAAAAAGAAATGGAATAATAAGGCAGATGCTATCATTCAGCTCACACTAATCTGCTCATACAAATGACATCTCATTCAAACTAAGTGCTTACAGTTGTTCCTCAGTCTCTGTTGGGGACTGGTTCCAGGACCCATGCAGATACCAAAATCTGAGGATGCTCAAGTCCCTTATATAAAATGGCATAGTATTTGCATATAACCTATGCATACACTCCCATATACTTTAAATCACCTCTAGAATACTTATACCTAATACAATGTAAATGCTATGTGAACAGTTGTTATACTGTGTTTAAGTTTGTATTTTCTGTTGTGTTATTTCTCATTCCTTTTTCTCCTATTATTTCAATCCAGTTAGTTAAATCGAAAGATGGGGAATCCTGTGGATACTGAGGGCTAAGTGTACTTCTGCCTAAATCCACTTAAGCTAGAGAGCAGAATAAGGCTATTTGGTGTACTGTTTCCTTCTGTTTGTAAAGTTTTATGGGTAGTCCTTAAGTTAGAAATACAGAATATTGACAAAAATATCGTTAGAAAAATGTCTAACTTTAAAGTTTCTGAAAATCAGTTGAAACTGTACAGTTACTCAATTTAAACCAAGAATAGCAAAACATTATAATAGCTAGTATAACACACAAATGTATTTTTGCAGCCAAATATAAAAAGAAAATTACTATCTTACAACATCCTACAGCAACTATGCATATCCTTTTTGCAAAGTCTGGAGTGGGCCTTTAAACTAATTCTTCCTTTTTCTTCTAAACACCAATGATCTTAATTTTAAAAAATAAAACTCTCCATAAAAGAATGATTTCAAAAGAACTTCAAAGTATTCATCAACCATCAACATAAAACAGTAATTGGTTAACTCGAGGTACTTTTAGAAGTGTTAGCACAATAAACAAGCCACTGAGGAAGTACAAAAACAAAAATCAACAGAAACAGGATCTTTTACAGCAAAAAGTTAAACTGTATAGCCTTCAACATTTAATATTCTGACTCCTAAAATCATCTTAAAAAAAAAAGAAAACTAAAATTACAAGTAGGCTGCCTAACTACAACCCAGATCCTGACTACAACCCAGATCCTAAGTGGTAATTGCAATGTAGACCTTTAAAGCCGTAATGAAAACCGTAATACCTATGCTACTTGATACAATACAAGTCTACTTTCCCATTTAAAAATTTTAATATTAGGATAGTTTCAACAGAACTGATGCTAATACCTTAGCTTTGGCAAGAGACACATTCTCATGGTTGTTACTCTTTATGAGGAAAAATCTTGCATCCTGAAGCACATATTTGAGTTTACTGGTTTGATCTGAAAAAAAGAAACCCAAATCAATTAACCACAGGCCATTATCACACAAAGGGATCAAAACTGTACTAATTGAAATTAGCCCTCCACAACCCAGCTAAACTTTTAAAACAATCACCCATTCAACCTGGAAAGCTAAGCCACGACATGTAATAAAGCAAAGCTAAGAAAAGACAACCAGCATACTGCAAGAAAGTAAACCTAACCTAGTGATGTTCCGATATATCAAATCCATATTTAAGTATGAAAATGGTTACCAAGTTTTACAGATTTTCTTACTCAGATTCAACAGTGATAACAGACCATTATATACATACATAAATATACACACGCATCTATATATAACACATACACACATATACACACATACACCCATCCCATTTTGTCCAAAAACTAAAATATCCTGAAATGTTTGGCATTATTCTAAAAGATACGCAGTAAGAAGCAGAGAGCTTTCAATGTAAGATATTATTTTTTGCTTCATGTAATATATCGGAACATTACTACATTAAAAGCAGCTATTAATGGAGAACCAATAAGGCAAAATAATAACTGTGCAGCATGCAATGAAAACAATTTCAAATTTAAATGATACCTTTTCGGACAGCACGAACGGAAGATGATAATTTCTCATGCTTCTTTTCTGAACCTGTATTTAGCCAAAGTACATTTGTTCAGATTGAGCTTTAATAGAGATAAGACAAAATTTCTACAGTCTTGTCACATAAAATTCTCATTCAAGACAAATTATTCTTCCTGGCGCACCCACACACACAAAAAAACTTCTCAATGTGTACGAGTGTTTTGCTTTTTGGGTTGTTTGGATTTTTTTAAAAGTATGTGTTTGAACAGTTTCCCACTCAGAAAACTAGTCACTGAATCATCATCTTCCAAGAAAAAAAAAGTGAAAATTCCACTTAAGCAGTAACAGAACAGGATTAAAATAATAAGAAAAAGCTTAGTTTTTCTCTAGAATTATTACACTGAACATGCCAAAAATCAGTACTAATGGACATCAACAAGTTCACACTAAACTACAGCCTCCACACGCTTTCTAAAGCAGATTACATTAGAATCAAGTCAGATATGATCACAAAATGAGAATACCTGCATATGACTCTGATGCAGAGCTTCCACTTCTATCAAAAACAATTGGAGATATGCCTCTAGCTCTCTTCCTTTCCTTCTTTTTCTCATCTAAAAAGAACAAGAGTTTTTTTTTTTTTAAATCACAATATAGAAACGAAGAGAAGTAATCAAACAAGAATGTATCATTACATGTCTAGTTTTTGCATAGCCCTTATATTAGTCTGTGCTCCTCTCCTGATCCCTCAATTTCCTAAGAATGTTTTATTTTAAAAATACTGTTTTAAAAGTACAGGCATCTTATTTCTCTCATTAGTTTCAAGCAAATAAAAACAAATGAAATAACTACAAAGTCAGGGCCTTAACTGGCATATATAGGTGACCGTGAATACAGTTTTCCAAGGGGGGAAAAATTTGCAAAGCAAAAACAATTTCTTTCAAAACTGTGTCCTTTCTACACACCAAGTAACACTGTCTTAAGTCCTTATTTTTTAAAACTCCACTACCATTCTTCATCACAATTACAATTCTGATTCTATCTTAAGAGATGTGATAAACCCCTGAACCCAAAGCTTTACAAATGGAAAAAATATATATACCATAATTAGTGATTCCCTTCTGGTTGTCACTGCTTGTTTCTGTGTCTTCTATTTCATTCTCCTTAGCCATTTCCTCCCTGGATTACTGCTCTTATTTTCAAATTCAATTTAAAATTTACCCCTACAATTTTAATGGTAGCCTGTGTACTTCTGTAACAGAGCTGAAAATCTTCAGTAAATAGAAAAGGTTTGGATTACCTGTCATGTTAAGAACCAGCCCCAAGCTTAGTTTGGAACTTTATAAGCATATACATGAGGACTTGAAATGGAATACAGCTCTCCTATCTGTTTATTTTTATTTTAATTTTACCATGATAAGCTCCTTTTACTTTTCAGCTTAGAGATAAGGGAATAAGAAGAAAAAAAATGCATGTTTATTTTTATACAAACAATGGAGAGCTGAAAAAGAATAATCAGTGCCCATGTATACAATAACCCACTATATAATGACAGCTATTTAAAAAGCTTTAAATACTTATCTCCTTTAATTCTCAGATCAAGTTTACAAGATATTCTCATTACAGATGAAGAAACCTTGGATTAGACAAGTGGTTAGGCAACTAGACTAGGGTCCCACAGTTCCTGGGTGGCAGAACCTAGACTCAAGGGCAGGTCTTCTGGCTTGAGCAAGTAGAAAGGATGTTTTATAACTATTTCTGAAAGGGGATTACAGGTTTACCCGGTCTGGGGGGCTTTTTTCATTGTTCCTTTCAAAAGTTCTGATATGTTCTAATTTTTCCTCCATGGATATTTCTTTCAGGAGTCTAAGCATTATGAATGGATCAGATTTAGTGTAATTTATCTCTTGTTGCTGTTAAAAAAGAATTACTTTATGGTCCAAAGTACCAAAAAGGGCCTGCCTGGCGCATGCCTATAATCCCAGCACTTTGGTCTAGGCAGACGATCACTTGACCTCAAGAGTTTGAGCCCAGCCTCGGCAACATAGCAAGACCCTCTTTATATAAAGACAAAACAATAATAAAAAAATTACTAAAAAGATCTGAGATAATGCAGGGAAAATAACAGAAGAAGATCCTACTCAATTGTTTTTATATAATGCTAAATCTAGCATTAGCATTAGAAATCTCCAAGGAATTTTCATCATTTTTGTATGAATAACTCCCAATGCTCTTAAGTTTATGGCTCTCTCCCCCAACTGTTACTCTTAGGTCAAAAGAACAATGAAAATCATCTAATAAATAAAGCATTATCCATCAGCCTGTTGCTTTTATAAACTTACCAAACATTCTGAGAATAAGGTAAAATGAACTGGAATCTAGAAAATTCATGACACAGAAACTAAATTGTGATCACTTTTATCTAAAAACTGATGTCTCCTAATGAAGAAGTTCCAAAACCACTCCATTTTCTTTCATAAACTATTGTATAAAAAAAATTTCCTGCTTATTAATATAGTACCTAATGCATGTTCCACATAAGGGATTTTCCTTTAATAAGGAAAATAAAAATTTCAGGTATCTCTTTTAGAATAAACCTAATCTAGTAACAGAGTTTTGATATCAAGATTTGTTATAAAACTATAGTTACCATTTAATTTGAAATGTCTTCTCCACAAAAACAAAGTATATCAATCAAGTTACCTTACTATGGTATCACCTAGGAGCCTGTTACAATTGCAGATTTCTGGTCCTACCATTTAAGTAAGTTCCCTTTGTTTAATGTAAACAATACAAACATTAAAGTCTAAGAAATAACACAGATACAAAAAAGATTCCTACAACAAAATGTTCCCTACCCACGGGAGTGGTTTCACACATTCTCCACAATAAATGAACATTCAACACATAATGCTAATGAAATTTTTCTTATTATCTTAAATTATAAAAAATACATCCTATCAGTTTGCAAAAGGCATGATGGAAGCACAGAATTAAAGATTCCACAAGTTTTTACAACAAATCCAACTACTCATCCATTCCGTTTATCTCTACCTCCCTTGAAAAGCCTATCTTAACTCCGAAACCCAGAATTCTAGCGAACAAAAGGTTGAAAGCACTTCAGTTGCCAATCACTAGAAAATAACTGGCCATCTGTTCTACCTATACTGTATATAGTATAGATATAAACCATCTATATAGTATAAATATGTAATACATATAGTATAGATATGTACTATCTATATGTAGCATAGGTAGAGCAGATGGCCAGTTATCTTCTAGTGATTGGCAATTGAAGTACTTTTCTATACTATATATATATAAAATGTACTATTATAAATGATCAAATTCTATAATAATGAAACTGTAAATGTATTTCAAAAAATAGGAATTTTCTTATGTTTAGTACATTTTGCTTATGTAGCAATCTGGTAGCATCTTTACATAAGAGAGTCATACAGTGCTCTGTAAGTACCCTGACCTCTCCTTGCTGTATCCTCCCCCCAGGAAAGGTTCCCCTAAGCCTAGTGCCTCCAACTACCTAACAGTCATACATTTTTGTCTCATAGGTATAGAGAGGCAGGATAGACAGCACTGAAGAAATGACTCAAGACAGCTCTTACCTGATTTTTCCACAAGAATTTTATTTATAGTCTTCGTCTCCATCTTATACCTTACACCCCAGCCCTCCTGTCGACCCTGTCTCAGCCAGTCAACTGACAGACACAGAATTAGAAGAAATGTCTGTGCTCCCAGGGAAAAAAGAAATAATTTGTTTTGATTCTGAAGCCATAAGATGGAAATCCAGGGATATTTTACCAAGGAAATACTGTAATACCCAGTGGACAGGTTTCATATGAATATACTTCAAGTACATCAGTGTTTAAATAAACTGCTGACTGGTATGAAAATCTAAGAATTTACAGAAATCTGAAATACATTTCCTTATACTGAATCAAATGGACTTGTGCTCATTTACAACACAACCAATCTGTAGCTAGGAAATGCCTTTACTAAAATATGCAAATCTTATCCAAGATTATTCAAATGTATTTATAACATTCAATGGCATATAATTATAAAAGATCACAAGACAATCCTATTAATATCCCCCATCTCCTCAACAATTTTATAATTTAAACATTTTCAAGACCGAAACCTATCAAGTTTTTTTAAAGACGAACTTTTACAAATAAAAAGTAGTACCTGATCCATCTGTGCCTGAACCAGATCTGACGGACCCATCTGTGAAGGAAACAGATTCAGAACCAGAGTCACTGGCCTCACTTCGAGTGTCATAATCATTTCCCTCCTCTTTCTGGTCTCTCTCATCCTGTTCATATTCTTCTTCTTCCTCCTCCTCCTCCTCTTCTTCCTCTTCCTCCTCCTCTTCCTCCTCCTCCTCTCCATCTTCATCTACCTCTTCATCTTCTTCTGCATCTTCTTCTACCTCTTCATCTTCCTCCACATCTTCTTCCACTCCTTCCTCCTCATTCTCAGTGTTGTTGCCTTGCTCATCAGAAGAACCACTGCTGCCAGTCTCATGGTCAGAGCCATATTCTTCAGAGTTCACTTCTTCCTTAGAAGACTGGCTGGATCTGCTTGCACGTCTATCCACTTCAAGCCCAATTCTCTGATGTTTAAAGAAAAAGGGAATCAGCAGTCATATAAAAGACAAGGTCAGGGTGAATAAACAGTTCTAAAGCCTCAAAAAGAATGGCTTTCTGTTTTATATCTGCAATAACATTTACTACCTCAGAACCATCTGGCGTAGGAGATTTGGCCCTCCTTTCAGGATCCCTTTTCCGGACACAGGTTTTTTCAGGTTGATTCTTGTAAGGTTCTCTGGAGGCACTACTTGATAGACGAATTTTCCGATCAGCATCTAGACGCTTGTTTCTTTCAGATCTTTGATATTCCTCATTTTTATACTCTGTGACTGACTTTCCTTTTGTACTAACTATTCTTTTGTTATTGCTAACAGATGAGCTCAGTGGCTTAGAAACCAGTTGTCTTGAATGGACAGAAGGCTTTTGTCGTTTGGTATCAGTAGATTCCATTCGATCACTTTTTCTTTTTGATCCTTTAAAATACAAAAAAAAAAAAAAAAATAGTAGTAGTAGTATTTGTAGTATTCCATTTATTTCACCAAAGATTGACAATAATATACATCAGGAAGGGGGGAAAAGGCCTCATTTCTTTAAAAGTCTTCTGAAAGATTTCTGCTCCAGAGTTAATCTAAAAGAAAACATAGCTTTCAACTACAGGAATAAATCCATATATTTGAAAAGTTTCACATATTAGAAAAAAAACAGATTATCCCCATTCATATGGATATCAGTTTGTTATGTACATTTAGTGTTAACTGCCTCTAGGAACAAGTACAAAAAAGCACTTAAGTCATTTTCTTAAGAAACTGAATCTCCTCTATTTATACTGTTATTTCAAAAATAATAGAACTCTTACATACCCTTTTTCTCGTTTTTATCTTGTTCACTCTCTGGATTATACAGTTCATCATCTTGTTCTGGTACTTCAGTCAAAATATCATCTAGAACATTAAGTTCTCCATCTGCAAATAAAAAATTAATAGGGAAAAATCACTATCATTAAGCACGTACTTTTGAGTACTTACTAAGTGTGAGGTCACAAGTGCCCAGGGAGCTTTTACTTCACTTTTACACAAAAAAGCATTACATTTCAGAATCAAGACACAAGATTAATTTCTATAAAACAATAGAGGGTAAAGAATTGGCCAGTCATGGTGGCTCATGCCTGTAATCCCAGCACTTTGGGAGGCTGAGGCAGGCCAATCACTTGAGGCCAGGAGCTCAAGACCAGCCTGGCCAACATGGTAAAACTCTGCTCTGCTAAAAATATAAAAATTAGCAGGGCGTGGTAGTACATGCCTTTAACCCCGGCTACTTGGAAGGCTGAGGCACAAGAATCACTTGAACCTGGGAGGCAGAGGCTGCAGTAAGCCAAGATCGCGCCACTGCACTCCAGCCTGGACGGTAAGAGTGAGTGTCTCAAAATATATATACATACATATATATACACACACACACACACACATACACACACACACACAGAGACAGAGAGAAGTCTGGGCTATCTGGTCTACAAAGCCAGGAGTATACATCTCAGAAGGCATGAAAAGATATATTGGAGCATAAAAAGAAAATATAAGAATGTCTCTATTTTTACCTCATTCTTAAATTTCTAAAATTTCTGATGGCTTTAAAATGTGTACAATAAATTAGTATAGAAATACATATGTACAACCTATAAATACACATTTACCAAAAATGTGCACTCCACAATTACAAAGGGAAAACAACTTTACAGGGGAGAAATGTCGCACAGGCCAAATTAACCAGATAATTAAAGTTAATTAACATCACCAGTAATGAGACAAATCAATATCATGGACCTCCTGTTACAATGCTCTGAGAACAGAACTATGCTTTTGTAATGTTCTATGCAAAATGGAAAAGCTGAACCTACATGAGGAAAAATCACACAAACCCAAATTAAAGCGTATCCAAATATGTCACTGTCATGAAACAAAGAGTAAGAACTATTACACATCAAAGCAGACTAGAGAAGCATGAAAACTGAACACAGCCCACAATATTGGATAACTGGAAAAACTGGTGAAATCTGAATAGTTTATATCAACGTAAATGTATCCCATTTAACGTGTTTTGTATCCCATTCAACGTTATATGGGATACGTAAATGTATCCCATGGGATACGTAAATGTATCCCATTCAACGTTATTTGGTGAACTCGAACATCTGCACGTCTATTTCTTCATCTACTAAGTAATGAATGATTAAACATGTCTTATTCTATATGATTTGTATATATATTTTTAAAATAATAAAATTTTAAAGTGACAAAATATTTTTAAGAAGTAGTAAGCATTAGTTAATATTCGTTGTCTTGAAAAAGGTTGTAAATATCAACGTTATTTTTCTAATTTTGACTGTACTACGGTTAAGTCAAAGAAAGTCCTTATAAGACATATTTAAGCATTCAGGGACAAAGCTGTATTATGTCTAAAACTTACAAATGGTTCAGGAAAAAATGTGCACATACGCACGTACACACACACACAGACACACAGAATGAGACAAACGTGACAAAATGCTAATATTCGCAGAATGGGGCTGGAGACTAAAAGAAAATTCTTCACACTGCACTTGTAGCTATTATGTTTATGTGAAATTATGTCAAAAAGGAAGTTAAACGAAAAAATTATCAATGCGCTATATAATAAAAAAAGTTTAGAGCCTGCTGGTGTGGACTGTAAAAGCATAAAACTTAGACAAGGGAACTATGACTATATTGACATATTCAACGATCATGAGAGCATAAAACTCAGTTTTGTCCTCACTTCCACCTTGTCCAACAAGACAAACCTTAGAAATACACACAAATACCATTTTAAATTTTAAAATAATGTGCTAATGCTAATAGTAAATGTTTAAACATTATTCCAATACCAAAAAAATTTTTCCAAATTTAAGTTGTGCCAAAGAGGAAGTATAAAGCAATGAAAACTGATGAGACAGAACAATTATATTTGTGGCTTCAGGGAAAAAACAAAGCCCACTTGAATTACAGCAAAGTCTATTAATTAACCTGGGGGCTATAAACAGGTTAAAGGGGATTCAAATTTTCCCCAAAGTGGGAAAGAAATCAGTGACCGAAGAGAATAGTTAATACAAATGATAAGAAGGTTACACGGGAAATGGAAAAGATAACATTTTCCTTTATATTTGAGGACAGACACAGTCTAAAGATATCTGTAAACTACTATGTCTGGAACAGCAAAATTGATTATTTTGGGTGGTACCAATGCTGATATGTACTTTCTATCATTTTTCTAAAATGAAAACAGGTTACATGGGTTTTCATTTTTGTTTACTTTTTAAAAATCTTATTTAAAATCCAGACATGTCAAACAAAAAAGCTTCTCTCATCATCTAGACTCATGTTTTTGCTAAGACAAAATTCCTTCAAGATCTGAACGGTGGCAAACACCATTTTTGGACTCTACATCATAAATAAAAAAAAATAGTTTGACAGAAGTAAATCCACGTTTTACAGATGTTTAATAAGTACTGGGTCAAAGTTCACTAATCAATAAAAAAGTAGATCCAACAGGTCTTCACAGAATCAAATACATTTGCAGAAAACAAAAAGAAAAAATTTAAGACTATCAAATGAAATAGGCAAATATAATGCTATACAAATCTTTTCATAAAATCACTAGATCTTATTTGGAAATATCACCCCCGAACCCTGAACATTTATATATTATACACTTTAGACATGCTAAATTTAATACAGAATGAATTCTGCAGAATGTTAATTTAAATAAATTTAAGTTTCAAAGACACTTAAAGCCTGGTTTTCCTATAAAAGGGGGTATTACTGTTTTAAAAAGTTTTAATGAATTCAAATTCAGACATTGGTTGCAGTTTTACAAAGCACCTGTAACCTTTTTCAAGACAACAAATATTAACCAATCCTTACTACTTTTTAAAAATACTTTGTCACTTTAAAATCTTATCATTTTTAAAATATATATACAAATCATATAAAGTAAGGCATGTTTAATCATTCATTACTTAGCAGATAAAGAAACAGAAGCGCAAATGTTCTAGTTCACCAAATACACTTGTCTAATAACAAACAGATTAGTATGAAGTTCTGGCTTTACAAATCTACAGTTAAATTAGATGGGGAACAATAAAAGCACCTTTAACCAAAGTATAAAGAACACAAATGCAAAATATTAAAAGGATATATATACTAGAACATAAATTTCAAATTAGTGCACCAGAAAGCTCTATATCTTTAACATTACAACATTTAAAATCTACTGAAATATTCAAAATCAACTATAACATCCTCACTTAAATGATGTACACACTTTTATCCATATTACAGTCCATAACATCAATAAACTGTGTGGTTTTACCACAAACTGGCAAACTAAAACCTACAGGATAAACGTGGCCCACTGCCTGTTTAGAATGGTCTGCAAGAATACATTTTTAAGGTGCTTATTAACAAGGGGAAAAAAAAAAAAAAGCAAAGAATATGTCAGAAAACACTTACAGCCCACAAAGCCTATCTGGCCCTTTACAAAGAGTTTTGCCAACCCCTGACAAAATACAAATGACGAAATTTTAAGTTACTTTTCTCCATCATTGAAACTCCTTATATATATACTGGAATATGATATACAAGGGAAAAAGTCTTGGAGGTTAAGAAAATACAGGTTATAGCTTACATTTAGGTATCAGGAAATTCCCAGTCTTTCTGAGTTCAAGATTCTTCACCTCTGATAAGAGGCACTTAAAAAAGATCAGTTTTGGGGACAAGAAAAGGAGGACATTTGAATCTTCTATGAGTTTTCAACCTTTAAGACTCTCCTTCCTTATCACTATCGGACTTTAAGAGGTTGCCTGCCCCAATCCTCTTGCTAATGGGCTACATGATATATATAAAACCTGGTCCAGAACACAAAACAAAATCCCTTCTTCAACAAAACAGGTATGGTATATACATACATGTTCCAATTATCTACTGCTGTGTAAGATGATCACCCTAAAACTTGACTTAAAACAGTAACATTTTTCATTATGGCTCATGGTTCCGGGGCTCGACCTGGGTCTCCCATGTGGCTGCTGTTAAATGGGGCTAGGGCTGGGGCTGAAATCATCTGAAGCCTTGTTCATTGACAAGTCTGGCTGATGTCTAGGCTGGGAAGATTCAAAGCTGGAGCCTCTCCAATTCTCTCTGTGTGATTACTCATTACTATGGCAGCCACAAGTAGGCAGACCTCTTACATGGTGGTTTAGGACATTCGTGTCCCAATAGAGAAAGGACAAGGGAGAAATCCAGCAACACTATCACAGTATTTATTCATCACAAAAGCTTACATAGGTTCAAAGGGAGGGGACACATACTCTAATCACTGTTGACAGAAGTGTCATATATAATACATGACAGATGTTTCCAAAATGACGATAGTTTTAAGGATAAATATTTTAATTATATACGTGAAGTGCATTTTTAGTAACAAAAAAATTCATTTAAATAGGTCAGTGTTAAAGCTTATAGTCTCTGGCCATAACCTTCACTGACTTGAAAAAGTACACTTTCCATACATTTTAATTATTTTTTTTAATGTAGAATGAATTACAAAAGCAGAAACATTTTAATACTCTCACAAGTTACTGCTATTAAAGACTATAATCATCACTGGCATATCCATTTTTAAGAAGAATTATCTCTTTAAGATATAAAGTAATACCCACTAGTTCTAGGTTGACTTTAACCTACTTGAACAAATGTTTTTAACCATTTCCTTTGTCCTGAAATTTAACATTATTGATATTCTATATAAATAGAAATATGTATGCTTTCAATTACTTCACAATAGTTTGACAGTAGCATCCCAACCCAAGAATAATAACAGTAAACAAAGATTAGAAATGCCAGGTTACGAAAAGGTCTATAAACATACAATTCATGCACTACAAAAATCC